GCAACCACATGTCTAGAAAAAACCCCTTTACATATTATATATACAAGAGTAGTCATTTACGTGCAAACTTTCCTACAACAACCGTTAGTGTGGTTAACTACAACAATGTGGCACAAACTGCTCCTGCAAATATTATAGTTGCATTGACTTTAGTGTTGCTTCAAGTCTCTGGCGTTTCACTAATGGCGGTTGTTGGCCACTGTGGAGTATACGCATCGACATCGCAACGAATACATATCTATATACTTGTAGTATGTATTATTCACTGTTGTAAAGTTGCTGGTCAATAACAGTATTGGCTTGCCAGTTAGCTCAGCTGCGCGATACTGGCAAACATCGCATGAGCAGCGTTTGTAAGTACTATAATATATACAGACAGATTTTTATAGTTATACAAGTATAGTACACAGCATATATGTAGTTGGCATGTAAAAGCATTTGCTGTGTGTAGCATACTTTTTGCAGCAGAAGACAACAGGCAAGATTGTAAAAGATAAGCACTTGTTCCCGGTTTGCATCCCATCAACTTTATCGTTTTTCTGTAACAAGCGTATGCGAGGGTGTCTATTGTTTAACTGGTTAGTGTAACTTACGTAGATATGAGCACATTTATATGTACAGTTGTGCTAATATAAGCCCTCATAAGAGTGGATACTTTAAGGAACGGATTTACTGGAAGTCTAAACGAGTTCATTTCAGAGTCTTTTTGATATGGCACATTTTCGAGCAAGATGCGTTTCATACCCAAAATATCCATCAAAATATCTTGCCATCACCATTTGAAGAAGGCATGTCTTCAACGTTCTCTCGACCATTGAAGGTCGAAGGCTTTGTACCACTCGTAGGCTTATATTTTTGATAAAACTGAATCAATTTCCGGATGCTTTCTGTCACAATGTATAAAGTTATTGCTTATGCATGTATAGAGTTCTTTAGTCGGCATGTACAGCCAACTGAAATATTTTGAATAGCTCAGCATAGTTTATTTCTAAATAGGTATCACTTCAAACCCAGAAATCGTGTTGAAATAGGGGAGCTTGCTGAGCGCTGAGCAATAGTACTGACATGGTCGCAATATCCGTCTGGCCTTTACTCTGCGCCTTCAGCAAGGTTTGACTCTCTCTAGTTAAAATTAGAACTCCTTGGTCTACACAGTATGGTTATAAACCTAGTCAAAGGCCTATTTTAAAAGCTGACGTAGCGGACGACTGAAGCTTTCACCTTCAGCAAGGTTGTTCGACTTTTCCAAGTTGAAGTAGTTCTAACAGGTCTACCCAGTAAGCTTATATGGTCAACCCATTCAAATGCCAATATTAAATGCTGCTTGGAAAAATTTGACTTGCTAAAATACTTGCTTTTCGACTGCATCGCCGAAATCACAGATAAACCAGTTCAGATCTCACAGATTTCGACATACAGGTGTGCAAGATACCGACAGCAAGCTGTATTAGAAGTAGAAAGTATAAGCCGACTTATTAAGTGCTCACTAGATTTGTCCGCTTAATTAAAGTCGTTCCTTCTCAAAAACCTGTACATAACAGTACAAATGCAATCCTTTCCTTTAATATCAGCTATAGAATCTAACTAAACCTACCCTGGGATAAAGAAAATCCAACTATGCGAGATCGTTGAAATGACTTCATATGAACCTAAAGTGAGTGATAGCAATGGAGGATGGAGTCACATGTAGAAGTTCATGGAAGAGAGCAAAGTTCTATGAACGCTCACGACTTTCGCTCTTAGACCAAGTATCGTCTGGGTAGTCAAAGAACATCCCTTTGAAGGCGAGCTAAAGTAAGAAGGCGAAACATTCCTTATAGGGGTTGTGCGATGAATAGATCAAAACAATAGCATTCTGCAAAAAAATTATCACTGAGGAAGACTTTTAAAAATAAAATGATGTGACTAATATCTATATCGACCGCTCTCGAGTCAATAATGTTTGCTCGCAAATAGATGAAAAGTATATTAATGGTTTCAATAAGACGGCGAGCTACATATGGCACATTTCGAACCAAACTTTTCAGTTTCTACAAAAAAATTTCCAGTACAATTTTTATTAAGAAGGCATGGACAGAACATTCAAGGCATCAGTTAACTTCGAACCATTAACAAGCTAAAGACAGATATTTGTGCTGAATTTATCGCTATTTGAGATGGTGGATTGAGATGGAGATGAGAAAGTAATATTCATCTCAGGAAATGAAAAATTAATTTTGTTGCCACCAATTTTACTTACATAAGTACTACAATTCTAGCAATATAACAAAAATATTCTAGAATTCACTACTTCCAATTGTTCTTATCTCTAGCTTTATGTGGATACGATTGCGTCTGGCTGTTGCTCCAATATTCAAACACATACCGCTCATCGAAAATATATTCACGAACGCAACGCATTGTATTCCTATATAGACATCCTTATCAAATATGTTACTACTTGTACGTGGCCGTTTTCATGGCAGCGCATACTTTTGAACTTATTGCTACCCGTTGACTACTGCAGTTGTTGTTGCTTTTGTTGTTTGTGTTAGTGTTTGGCATGCGGCATATCAGTGATACTTGGGAATGTTTATTGGAATCGTTTCGCAGATAAACACGAATTCAAGGCTCGAACTGCGAAATTGCCGAACATTTCGCAAAGGCGGCAGGCAAAACCGGTTTATTGCTAAGAAATGATATTGAAATTTCTCTCATTTTGACTGTTACGACTGTGAAATATTTCGGCATATTTTAACGAGCTTTTAAGTGCACACACAGGGACTCATACGTATGCAACAATTGCGAAATATGGAGTATAATTTCGAACAATTGCAATGGTTGGTATGAGGAAATATCAGCAACATACATACATATATACGTATGTATATGTAATTAAGTTTCGGCTTCTTATTGGAATTTTACAATTAGTGTTGGCTTAAAATTAACGGTAATTAAATTTGTTATATGGAAATATGTAAGGCGTTTTTGAGAGTTTTCGCTGAAAAGTGCTTTGTTTAAATCCCTCACTATCAACATATTCTGCTTTAACCAACTCGTATTGGACTTTAAGTGAAAGCATAAGGCTCTGACATAGTGCAATTAAGGCCTCGGTTCAACAGTGAGTAATATTAATGCATTACTATTTGCAGTCCTTTGTGAAACTATAAAAGAAGAACTCCTACATCAGATTTTATAATTCGGCAAAGCGTTTTGTGGTCTGTACTAAGTTGGCGTTTACTTTGAGCTCCAACCCGGGATAATCGTATGCCGATGATATTGATATCAATGGCCTCAACAACCGCTCCGTTAGTTCTGTTTTCTCCAAACTGGATAGGGAAGCGAGACAGAACGAAGTATCTCCTGTCATCAAGCAAACAGTTGTCGCACTCGGGACTTGGCTCTCACTGTTGACAGTCATAGCATTGAAATCGTAAATAGTTTCGTCTATCTTGGAACCAGCGTTGACACCAACAACAACTTCATCCTGGAAACCTAACGCAGAATAACTCTTGCCAACAAATGTTACTTCGGACTGAGTAGGCAAATGAGAAGTGAAGTCCTCTATCGACGAACAAAAACCAAACAGATGGTGCAGAGGCATACAGCTGGCTTTCGGTACGATGCTCAACCTATCAGCAGATACGCCGATAAGGCAATTATCTGTTAAATAGAAAAACAACAACTAGGATGAAGCTAACCTCACTTAAAGCAAAGACCTCCCAGGGCCGCTTACGATCATTACTGGGTCGAAAGAACCGAAAGTAGCCCTGCGCTGGCCAAACCCACGCGAAGCCGAGCTATCTAGTAGTCTAAATCAGGATGATCACTGATCTGATACCATTACACTGATTGTGGGACTTGGGTGCCTTTCCGTCCTTGGCAGCCAAACTAACTTTAACACAAAGTGACTCGACGTCATTGATAACGAAGTAAGGCATACCTCAGCCAGCCTTGAGAGCTCAGTGTATGAGCTCAAACTGGTGTTGGTTATGTAGAAAGCGGTCTGTGTAAATATTGCATTTCAAATGCCTATACATATAATGCAAGTAAGACGAATAATAATCTGAGAGAACGGAGAGAACTCTTAATGGAAGGTGCTTGTATAAAACATATGATAAACGTCGTTTAAGGAACTTGATGTTTGGAGTATTAATATTTATTGTCGGTATGAAAGAGTTTGTTTTTTCAGTTTAAAAACATATTCCAATTTATGTGGCTCACTAGAGACCGTAGAGAGGAATATTTGCGAATTATAGAAAATATGCTTCCAAAACGTTTAACACCGGAGCGGATAATTGTTTTGTGCCAGTCAAGATCGGTATTCTTCCGAGTACAATATAAAATGTGTGTAACAATAGGAATGTGCAACAGCAATATAGAATCGTTAAATCCTCACATAGTAGATTCTCTCTTTCTCTTATTTTCTTGCAAATGTAGGGCCGTTGGTTTTTCAACTCTTTTTGGAAATTCATGTCATAGCTAATGGAGACAAATTTTCATGTGATTAATACAGTTCAGTAAGAATCCTTTCGGCAAGAAAAAGGTAAATAAATAAGAGAAACAGAGACAGAGACAGAGACAGAAACAAAAACAGAAAGAGTCTAGAAAGTAAAGAAATAATACACAATATTGATCATATGTACTATATATCGTAATTTTTGATAAAAGTAAGGCCTCAAATCGCATTTTCTTTATGCTTCTTCTTTGATATCATAGAAATCATTTTATGTGACAATTCCGTTTTCCTTAAGCACGGAAACTCCTATTTTTTTGAATAAAATTACGATGTTAGGAACTTGCATAATATTTGAAAAGGTAAAGGCCATAATCATCTTTTCCATAAAGTAGATTTTTTAGTAATATATTCTTTAATAAGAGCAGCATATAAAATATTATGTATAAGAAATGACGATAAGATTTTAAAGAGAACAATCTCAACTATAATTCAGTATTTATTACTTTGATCTCTTTAAAAAAAAAAAAAGTTACAAATACAATAAATACCATATACAACTTACCATTACGATTTTCGCTATCAGCCGGCTTCATTTGAATGGGATGATGCATCTGCAAAGAAAAACACGAAAAAACATTCCAATAAAAAATGATTTAATCAATTCGCAAATGTAAATGCAAACTTTACAAAGGATTAGCACAGATTGGTATGAACAAAAAAAAAAAACAAAAAAAAAAAAAAAAAAAAAAAAAAAAACACAACAACCACACCAACACCAACAAAAGCACGGAGCAATGATATAACAGTAACAACACCATTCTTCCATTTTCCACATTCATGCAAGCATTACCATTGACTGCCGGACGAACGCTCCGAATACAAACAGAAACTCAATAACAACGCCAATTGTATGCTCTAAGCCAGCTGCTACCCCGCTCCCCCTCCATTTCTTTGCATTCTCATAAAAGGTGTACCACGTGAAGAGCACAATTGGCCAAAGTAGTCGATCAGTTCGGCATTTTGAAAGGCTTTTGATTACTTTTTCATCCACTACTTTTTCCACTTAGCAGCCAATGCACTGTCTAACAGCGCTGCATGTTTGTGGACTCTTGATGAACATAGCTGCTATGCGTTAGTCAGAAGCTGTTTGCCATAGTGATGTGTGTTGTGTTATCGATTGGTGTAATGGAAGTATTATTAAAGGCAATATGGCTAAATGAGGCGTAAGGTCAAAGATACTGTCTGAATAATCGATACTGTTGAGTAAGTTTTTGAAAAAAGGTGACAATGAAATATTCTTTGCTATAATGCTTTGAAAACCAATAAATAAAAGTAAATTATATTGTTAATCAATTCGTTAACAATATATATTTATTCAATTATTATTCAAGTTCTAAAGGGGTGAAATTATCGATAGTCACGTTATATATCGATAATAAAAAATAAATATTGATTATCAAAATTTAAATTTTTTTCCAGAAACAATCAATAACAAAAGGCATGTTCTGTCGAAAGTTATCGAAATGTATATCGATAAGGAAGAATGAGAAAGTAGTAGATTCGCTACCAAAATCCGATTAATAAATAATATTGCATTTTTTTAATCAATTTGGAAAAAATTTTGTTTTCTTTATTTATTCAAGGTTAAAGGAGTTATGTTATCGAGAGTAACGGTATGTATCATTACTTTTGTTTATGGTTTTTTAATGTCAAACAAATATTCATAAAGTTGAAATATTTGTGCTATCGAAAATAAGCGAAAGTTCTTATTGTATATCGAAAGTAATCGAAAATGCTTAATATATTTCGATAATAAATAGCTAAAGAATCGCGCATTTTCTATAGATATGTAATGTCAAAAACCTATTCGATATTAAAATTGCGGAAGAGGTTATCTAAAGTTATCTTAAGTTATCAAAAATTATCGATAGTAACGAAAAAGACAAGTTGGGGATTTTCCATAAATATTAAGGTCAAGATTAAAATTTAAACTTTTAAAAAACATTCATAGTCCAATTATATGTGTTATCGAAATCTATCGTAATTCCCGATATATATCGATAATGAGTAAAAATTGTTGGCATCAAGTCCTGGATGATCTTTAAATATTCGAAGCCAAAAGCCAATTGCATTGGTTATTTTGTAGTTTTTTCTGACGATTTCTTAACATAGTCTATTTCTTATTCAAAAGCCTCCCATCTCTAGTCTATAGTACATGCAACAACACATGTATGCCAACACATGCATTCGTTTGAGGCTATGACTCGTAGAGCACACTAAAGGAGTCGACAAGTACATTTGCATGTATGTGTGTGAGTGTGCACTACTACTTTTGTTTCGTAAGGACTGCTTTTATCTATTGGTGTTGCTCTATTTGAAGTAACAAATGGCTGATTACTTTACAATACAAAGCGTTTCGAACGAATTCTCTCGCAACTCACATCGTAAATGTGCACAATCAAAGGCAATTAAAAGGAAAATGTGTGCGCTCGATGACAGCAAATTATGACTACGAAGAAAACGTAGGCAAGCCATGCTTAGTTAGTAATGAAATCATGGTTATGAAACAGTTTTCGAGGACAGCTAAAGTGCAAATTTTGAACTGAGTGACACTTTTGGTGAGCGAAATGGGTTAGGGCTACACGAATATTTAACCAAAAATTGAAAAACTGCAATTTACAAAAATTGCAAATTTTGAAAAATTGCCAATTTTGGCGCTAGAAAGTAATAAGCATTTGAGAACAGAAAAAAGGTTAAGATTTCCATACAAGGACAGGTATTCGATCGTACAGTTTATATGACAATTATGTATATGCTATAGTATTCCGATCTAGAACTTTTCTTCAGATATCGTAGCCTTGTCTTAGAAAGTAATCCGTACTAAATTTTGTGAAAATATTGCTCCAAAAAAAAAAAAACAGTTTTCCATTTAAGGATGCAGTTTATATGGCAGCTATATGCTATAATAGTCCGATCTAGAACTTTTCTTCAGACATCATAGCATTTTATTTGAAAATAGTCAGCACCAAATGAAAAATTGTGAAAATATCTCGTTAAATAAAAAAGTTTTGCATATAAGAACTGAATTTTGATATTTCAGTTTGTATGGCAGGGATATGCTATAGTTGTGCGATCTAGATAATTTCTTCAGGTATAATAGCATTATATTTGAAAATAAGTTACTCGAAATTTCGTGAACATGTCTTGTCAAATGAAAAAGTTTTCCATATAAGAACTAGATTTCGATCGATCACTTTGTATGACAGCTACATACTATAAAAGCCCGATCTAGAACTAATTAGCTATTATCATAGCTTTGCCTGTGAAAATAATCTTTGCCAAATTTCGTGAAGATACCTCTTTAAATAAAAAAGTTTCCTTAGGAGGATAGGTATTTGATCATTAAGTTTGTATGGCAACTATGTGCTATTGTAGTCGATCTAGATGTATTCCTCAGATATCATAGCGTTGCCTTCTAAAGTAGTCCATTCTAAATTTCGTGAAGATATCGCGTCAAATGACAGGGTTTTCCATATAAGAATTTGCTTTTGGGCATCATCATGGAGAGAAAAGGTAGTGTGCCGAATTTCATATCTACAACTAAAAAACTCAGTATGAATTTAATTTTAATAATTTCTGTTACCAATATCCTGACATTTATATTTACCAATTTCAGTTGTATTGCCTTGTTATTTAACGCAATTAATTTTATAAATTTTTAAATTAAATTTGAAATGTTTATTCTAGAAATTTATAATATTCTTGGTTGTGTTGTTAAGTAAACATATCGCATGCCAACACATTTGCCACCAATGCATACGCATACACATACTAATGCGCACACATATGCGGTGATTTGTGAGTACATAAACAAGCGTTGATCAGATGTACTCAAAGGTCGGTTATGTGTTTGCTTAATGACTAGGCAATTAGTTGATTCAATTACTGGGCATAATCCTATTGTAAGTGTACGACACTTGTATGCAAATAACCGCATACAAACTTAGAACGTATGGCACAGCGCTACAAACACAATCAGGCAAACGTGTACATCCATACATACATATATGTAGCATGTGTTAAGTAAGTAGAGTGCCTGCGTTGTTATAATGTTTTTGTAAACAGATTTACATATTCAAATTGTTAATGGAAAATCGAAGTATATGGTGTGGAATAGACTTTAGCCGCTGTCATTTCCTGCAAAAAAAACAAAAACCAAACATTACGTATACGACACGTTGTACCTAGCGCCCTTGGAAACCCATAGCAGCACAGGCACTATGCCATATGTGCGGATGAATGTGTATGACAATCTGCATGCATGCATGTGTGTAGGTGTGTGTGTGTGCTAAATTGAGTGCGTGCAATGCCACGTGTAATTGCGCAAACCAATGGTCAGCTTCGCATAATACCCGGGTAGCGCCCACATTTGCGTCACAAGCCATGACCAAGTGGCGTCATTTTCAATCCCTTTTTATGCACTGGAGAGTCCGTGTTCTAGCACTCAACTGCACTTAAACACGAGGCGAGAGTGTGAGTGTGTACCTGTGCTTACGCTCACCTAGCCGCTATGTGTGTGTATGTGTGTGAATGGGTTGGAGTGGTGAGTAACCAGCAGCTGCCGACTCACTCGTTAACTACGGAGTTAAATTAAACCCAAATAGCAACGCAAGCACGGCAGTGTGTATGTATGTGTGCTATTATTTAAATGCATGCAAATACACACACACACACACATAGATGCCATACACACACGTTGGTACGTGGTTGCTTGTACTTGGAGCTACTTAATTTACCTGAAATAATCGAAATGACAAACATGCATTAAAAGCTTGACATTTTCTCGCACGTCAACGGAAAAAATCAATTCATCCTGTGGCTGTATGACGTTGCTGCCGCGTAGAAATGCTGTATCTTCGCTTTTGTTGGGATCAGCTGCACTCTTAACACAAACACACACACACATAAGTATGTGTGTATGTATGTTGGTGTGTGGAATAACTAAAATGTTCATTAAAGCAACTGACAGGCGTAGACTTGTCGTGCAGCTTTCACTATTTCCGTGCATCTGATTCCAAACTAAATAACGCTGCACTTATCGAATGCCTATATACCCTGTAGGAAATCGAACTGGTTTGCAACTGATGTGGAAATAACTCTTTTATAGTTTACACAGGTTTTAGTTATTTGTGCTGTCAAGAATTATTTAGACCACAAAATAAAAGAAATTTTTAAATATTGGCGAGTCTCATTAAACATAGTTCAGTGTACTTGATCCAGCGGTTCTCAAACATTTTCTACCCAACTGTCGATCTGAAACCCATGGCTATGGGTAACTACATCATTTGATCTATTTGAGTGACGTTTCGGACCTCATCCAGCGATTCCCAAATCTGGTTAATGTGAAGGAAGACAAATCAGCTTGCACCTTTTGGGACCAATTCGGTTGTGGAGATGGCATGTATTAGACTTCCTTCACTAATTGGGGCTGTTTTACATCCGATTCGGCATCGAGTTGACGTAAAAAGTGTGAGTAGTAGAGTGCTTTTGGACTACCAAAATTTAAGAATTTCGGCAAACGGTTGAGCCAACATTTTCGGTCGACCGGAAA